AGAATGAAGAGACCTTTCAAACGATATATCATAAACCAATACTTCCTATTTAAAAAATTGGGGGTTGTACCTGTCATTCTACGGGGGTTGAAGGGAGGGGTAGCATTTTTCCGTTGAAGTATGTCAACTCATTTAAATTTGACTTGTTTCGGGATTTTGTTAAAATATGTACCGTAACCGAATTTATTCTATTTGGCTTTTACACACTGTATAGATGAAGCGAGGTTCGCCTGGCAATAAATGCTCCTGCTCATGTGCTCATCTGTTGTCTCTAGACGACATTCATTGCCAGCGAATGAAAAGTTCAAAACTAATTCACTGAATTTTTTGACGCATCTCATTTGAGGAATTTTTATTTCGACATTTTCTCAACAAAATCATTATCATAAGTATGGCGACGTGTACTTCAATTCAATGAACGTTTACTTTGATATAAACGTCAACAGAGAGAAGTAAATGAGGTTAGAAACAATCTATATTTACATTAAGATAAGGTAAATATTTTGAAATACTCACTCTTGCCAAGTTTTCCTCCAACGCCGGTCTTATGTCCCTTATCAACTCTTTGAACTCACTTGACATTTCTGTGGAAAACATTTCGATTAGACGAAACTACTCAACACATTCAACTTTTCAATTATTTCAAACAGAACACGTTAAGGTTAACATTTCTCCAGTCCCCACAAATGAAATCAATGAATGTCCGTACTATGTTACTCATTAAAATATATTTGAGATAAGATAAACATTAAGACGGTAGAACAGGTACGTAAATACGATGGCAAGTATATCGTGCGATGTTATTCATTTTTGTGTCCATGGAGAAAGCAGTAAACTATAGATATCTGTGCATATCGCTGACGATTCGAAAACAAATAATGTAGCGATCGAATGCCTTCAAAATAAATGAATTATTCCACTGTAGACATGATACTTTCACCAGCACGGTTGATTCGAATGTTTCGTGATTCTCTACGCTTGAGAGCTGCAGTTCAGAAAAGTATACAGTATGGACTTTTCAGTTTGTAATAGATGGAACATATTTTTATCGAAGTTTCAATACCGTCAAAAGCTAATGCAATATTCGATAACCATATTATATCTAGTAAAAATGGCTTCAAGGCAAACAGAATCCAGGGCATATTGAAAAATAATACAAGATATTATCCAAAAAAGTCATGGCTTCCCATTCTCATTTTAAAGAAAAGAATTACCGCAGTATGATATACAGGGTGTTAATTGAGTATGTACTATAAATTCAACAGACGATTCTATAGGCAATTTCAAGACGAAATGTTCATATAAACATGGGTCCGCAAATATTTTGTTCTCAAGATAAAGGGTGTTAAAATAAAAATAAAAAAAAGTTATTCGTAAATATCTTGAATATCCTTCACCTAATTTTGTTGTAATTTGGCAATGGTATTTACAACATTAAGGAGCTGATTTAGCCCGAACGTGATTCAATTTATTAAGTCCAGTAGCGTCTCGAGCGGGATTTGAAACATCGTGCATGTAACACATACGGAATCTTTCCATGACTGGAATTTCTTCTAAAAGTCTAGGTAAAACAAATTCTAAAAACTTTCGGTATTCTTCTCCATTAAGTCTAGGTGGAAGGAAGTGAGGCCCAATGAGACGGTCACTGACAATTCCAACCCAAATATTGAAAGAAAATTATTTTCTATCAAGGCGTGTGGATTGTTTTCGGCCCAAATGTAATTGTTGTGGTAGTTAATAATTGAATTGCGAGAAAAACAAACTTCATCTGTAAACAATATTCGACTGAGGAAACCTGGATTTCTTCTTATTTCTCCGCGTAACCAATTAGAAAAAGCTAGTCTTACAGGCAAATCTCTGAGCAATAGAGTTTGCACACGTTGTCCATAAATTAAAAGGGGTATTTTATTAATAAACTGACCCGTTATTCGATGAAAATCAATAGCACTCTAATAATAATTATAAATGTTCACAATATTCATTCAATTTCCAATACGCGTTTCACTACATAGTAATATCATTAGTTGGAATACAAGGACAACAAATCAGGCGTCTACAAGGTAGAATGTGGCTCGTGTCCAAAGGTTTATAATATAAGAATATCTAGAAATTTTGAAAACCAGAATATCTGAGGACAAAAAAGTTTTGAATTGAAGAAAACCAATTCAACCTATGCGCGCCATCTGTTGGAAAACAATCACGATTCCGACGTACTACATATAGAAAATACAGAACAAAAATTGAACCTGCTGTAATCCCTATCTCCCCCCCCCAAACCAATGGTGTTTCTTAGAAGGTCCTGAATGGGATACCCATTATTTCATCATCTGAAGAGAAATCGGTGAAATATCTAGGAATAATTATTGATAAGCACCTAAGATGGGACTTACAAGCAAAACATATTTGTAACAAGTTAAGAGGTTTCCTTTCACGTTTCAAATACTTGAGAGAAATACTGGACATAGCTCATTTGAAAACCGTTTATTTTGCTCTGATACAGTCTCAAATTTCGTACGGAATACTAGGTTGGGGAGGTATAAATAACTCACACAAATAATATTGTCACTTTACAAAAATGGATAATTAGAATTATATACAATAAATAATTACCTATTGGATTGACGCACTGTATAGAGAAAGTCAACTATTCGACCCGGAACAACTCGTCTGTCTCAAAATCATAAATAGCATCCACCAAAAAAAAATTGAAATTGATCCCATCAAACATGGTTACTGTACTCGAAGCAGAGAAAATAAATTTTCAGTGCCAAAATGTGAAAAAAGCGTGAAGCAACGTAGTATTCAATTTTTGAGTCCAAAGTTGTATAACATCCTACCAGGTCACTTGAAATACATCAAAAACTTCAACTCATTCATAACGCATATAAAGAGATGGTTACAACATACGGAACGATATATATTACACGATATAGTTAACAATAAATTTCCTATAAGAAATCACTCTCATGTACTGAATAAGCTCAACAGTTTTCTGGACTTTGTATGTTAAATGTTACTAGTGCGTATCTACATTTATAATTATCCTTATTCGTATTCATATATGTTATTATGAATTATGCAGATATTATTTCCATTTAACTTTTCCTATACTTTATATTATTAATTTATCTACCTCTCGAAATATTTCTTCACACATTACATTAATATCTGCGATTATACATGTTTAATATAAAAAAAATTCTACCCATAATCATCACGCAAAAGCTGTACCCAATTCAGCTTCAGTGATTACCCTGTTTATTCATTCATATGTATATGTATATTATATGTGAGAAATATGTATAACTTCTATTTGTATTTGGTGAATAAACATTACATTACATTACATTAGCACGTTTTGGATAACTTCACAAGACGAAGATTCTCCCTTAATAGTACGACTTTATGCTACCCAAAGTAACATATCTACTCATTTTTCGACAGGTGTCTCGTTCCAAAACTTCGAAGTACGCCATGGAAGAAGTATTTCATCTAAGTTGAATTTCATATCAATACTTTTTCATATGATGTGTAGCGTCCCTATGAATCATATATGTTTCAATATCATGACATGTTTATTGTACAGTTACAAAACGTAAAACTTGTAACTGGTTTCACTGCTTAGACGTTTCAACATCTGCAACAGTTTTTGGAAAGTGTCACTTTATATTTCAAAATTATTACAGTAACTCAAAAAATGAAACCGAAATGTGATTTGATCCTTTGTGTAATTACTGTCTTCACAACGATTAGGCAGTAAGTAGTGAAATCATTAGTATTCTGTAATATTAGAGACTTCTGTTCAGCTGTCAGTTTGAATCACTTGCTGTACTTCTTAGTTTTTCTATAGGTTAGCACTTGATAACTACCACATAGAAACCAAAACAACGGTATGCATCACAAACATTTAATCATTTAGATGTGCTCTTGATGACCTGTCGTTTGGTGATAACTCAGTGATCAAGAACGAGACTCAATCTAAATTTCTAGGTATTCACATTGACAACAAGCTCAAATTTATTGAGTATATCAAACAACTCAAAAGTCAAATTTGTTCTGAATGTTATGCAGTGAGAGTAACTTCAATAAATTTGGGAATCAAAACTGCCAGAACGGTATTTTACGTTCTCGTTAAATCTCATCTACGTTATGGAATACCGTTTTGGGAAGTATGCAATTCATCAGCACTTCTGTCTGTATTAGTACTGCAGAAACGGGCTATCAGGTATATGTGTAAAAGTAAACCTCGTGATTCATGCAGACACAAATTCGCTGAGCAAAACATTTTAACAGTCATTGCATTGTTCATTTTGGAAACGGTTTGCCTCATTTACAAAAATATGTCCCTATTTGAGGCTTCATGCCATTCTTATAGCACCCGTTCCACCGCCTTGAAATTGCCAATTCCTCTAACAAATTTGGTCAGGAATTCTATTTATTACAATGAGGTCAAGATTGTTTGATCAATTGCCCTCAGATATAAGACAGGCAAATTTAACCAACAAAATGTTTATAATAAGACTAAAAACATGTTTGGCCCTATTATAATTTGTAAGAGTTTTATAATGATAAATTCACGTGACAAAATGTGCATATTTGAATTTAGTTTATATGAGATTTTTGTTTATATTCTTGTTTGGATATGAATGTTTGTCTGGTGCAATGGGTGTGTTTATTTATGTTATATTATATATAAGTATATATGTTTATAAGTCTGCTTATATAAATGTTGATGAAACTTTTAAACAAGTCTGTACACAACCATGTTGAGACAAAATTTCGATGTTGAACTATAATGTATGTTCTAACTTCACTTTGTAGGTGTTTTTATATTCACATTTTATATTTCTAGACTTACATTTGTATGTACTTTTCACAAGCTTTGTCCACAAGATTTATTCTTAATGACAATAAAGTTTATTATTATTAAACCTCTTCGGTAGTAATACCGACTAAAAGACAAAAGTTACGATTGAATGCTAGATAAATAAAAAATCATAAATGTTGGTAAAACATTGCTTTTTTCAGAAAAAAACCTAGATCAAACAATCAGAAATCAAGAAATTTGTACCTCTAACATATGTTGGTAAAATAACAGACACAATTGCTGGTTTTTTCCAGAAAAAACAATTTCTATTTTAATGATGAAGATGAGGTGGACAAGATTGAGAAATCTGATGTTTATAAGCTTAAGTGTCCGGAGTATAATGGTGTTTATGTGGAAAAATGTGGCCAAAATTTCTCGAACGATATGCTGAATATGAAAGGTCCTAGACAGATAAAAATGATTCGACGTTTGCAAATCATTTCTTGGAATGTTACCACAAGTTTTCGAATCTAAACGATACGGAAATTTGGCACTATACAGGGAAGGGTTGGAAACTCAATTATTTGGAGTCCTTGAAAATTCACAAGCATTCCGAAAATAACAGGTAAAAAAAATTCAGATACTCAATTAAGTTAAGTACCTCTGTTATTGTTATTATCTATAGTGGTGTTTAGATATATAAGGGCTAATCTTATCAATTATATCCAGTTCACTGTATTGGTTTGAAAATGTCCTCATTGGACGAAACTGCAGTAATGTTAGTTACAAATACAAGTGGTAAAAAACATAAAAGATTTATTTCTCATTTTTCATGTTGATCTTCTACCACGTAGTAACGGCTACATCCATCAATTCACTGCTGAATGAATGTTATTGTCGAATAAATGGAAAACAATAATATACGCGAAACAAACCACAACCGTTTCATCTCGAAAAAAAATCTTCTGGATCAAATTTGAAAAATATTAATAAAGTTCAATAAATAAAAAAAAATGAATTGAATTACTTGCGTTATGGTGGAGGTGATGAGCGTGTTCTAATTAGAGAAAAATGAATTGAATAGTTATCCATCTATG